TCGCTCACGCTCTCCCTCTCCCTCCCTCTCTCTCTCTCTCTCCCTCCCTCCCTCTCTCCCTCTCTCCTCCCTCTCCTTTCTCTTCTCTCTCTTCTCTCTCTTATCTCTTCTCTCTCCTCCCTCTCTTCTCTTTCTCTCCCCCTCCCTCCCACCTCCCTCTCTCCCTCTCTCCCTCCTCCCTCTCCTCCCTCTCTCTCCCTCTCTCTGTCTCTTATCTCATCCTTCCCTCCTTTTCTCCTCCCCTCCCCCTTTGCTGGCTTTGGCTTCACCACCGACTGGTGCCGAGCACGAGACTGCTGAGGCTCCGAATTCGGGGCGCTGCAAGGCTTAGGATCTGTGGTTGTTTTAGGAAAGATTCAAGTGGTATTTTATTCTTTAAGGCATCCAGCAGAGAAATGGAGAGAAGCTCAAAGAGAAGGGGAGGAGCAGAAGAAGGAAGGGGAAGAGAAAGAGCTAAAGGGTAAGAGCGAATAGGAGCATAAAAGAAGTATGGATTACTGTAGCTGATGTGTGATGCTTACTAGCTGCTCCAAGACGGGCAAGTCTGGATCCCTTACATCGCTGTGGGCGTACCTTCTCAGCCCAGGCTCCAAATAAAGGTTTGACAATCCTGTCGGTTCACATTCCATCTCCGAGGACAAAAGTAGTTTTTAAAAACGTACATCAAAAGGTTGTCCACTGAAAAGAATGGGTTCAGTCACATTAATCTCCTAACGACCTAACTGCTACCCCGCCCCCAGCCAAGAAGTATGGACCCCATCGAACTGTCAGCTGGATCTTCCCTTTATGCAAAGCAGAAAATCAGCAGAACCACAATGCTTTCCTTTGAAAAACCTCTGATGGGAATATAAGTGTCCATAAGTGTGTGAGTCTACGTGTGACTTTGCACAAGGGGGAAGAGGAGGGTAGGGAGGAGAAGATTAATTAACCCAAAGTATAAAATAATTATATTCCCATGGGAGGGGGGAGGCTGGGCAAAACACAGTAACAATGCAACAGAGGGTAGGAAGAAACCTAGGCTAAGAATAACACAAAGGAGCTTCGGGTTCAGTCCCGCCTCTTAAAACCACTCCATGGTTACCTTCCTTGGACAAGTCATTGTAGTCAATGGCGAAATGAATAGTGATGGATGTAGATGATCTTGAAAGATCTTTTCCGACCTAACAGTCTCGAGTCTAAGACAGGGAAATCCCAAGTCAAGGAGGAATTGAGCCGTGGAGAGTGAATATACAGACCACTGAATTTTAAAGGTTCTCCAAAGGTGAGTCCTCACATCAGACCCCAAATCACACTCATGGTCCTTCCATTTTCAGTGTTTCAGGGGCAATATGAATTTGAGCATATGTGTAAAAATCTGCTCCTATCAAAGAATTCAGCTTCCACTTACATCTTATGATTAGCATTGACAATTTCTTAATCAAACCCCCCATACTGTGATTTCCAGCCCATTTAGTCAGAGAATCAAAATGGTCATTCGGGGCATCTGATCGAACATGAGTTATGTTGTATGTGTTAAAAGTACTGGCCTCTATGTATGTACAATGACTGGGACGTGGTAGGCATTTAAAACTTTTCTCACAATGTGAGATTTCTACCTAAACTACTATCCTGTTGGGTTCCTTCCCGCCCAATTCCTAATACTCTCTACACCTATCCAATGAGGCCACTCAGACTACATACTTCTTCAAAAGCATATACCCATACATTGAGTAGAAAGAGAGACCGGGATCCACAGACAGAGTCACTGAGCTGAAAGGATGCATGAAGATAACCACCTCATTGTGCAGAAAGAGAAACTGGCCTGCAGAAGAAACACAGTCCACACACGTCATAGTAAATCAGTGACTGAATCAAGCCCAGCACCCAGACCGCTGACCCCAGATACAGTATTTTTGTCCACCAAAGCAACATGTAAGCTGTACACAAAGCAAGTGTGTATGTGGGCACATAGTTAAGCACACGATTTCCTGCAGAGGTACTCATTTTCGAGTGTACATTTGTATGCGTAAACATCCAGTGAATTTAATGAATGAGCAAAATGGCAAAGAGAAATATTATGAGCTGGCATGAGGTTGCTGTATTATTTCCTAGGGCTGCCATAACAAATTACCATAAATTTGGTGGCTTAAAACAACAGAAATTTATTGTCTCACAGTTCCGGAGTCCAGAAGCCTGACATTAAGATACTGTCAAGGCCATATTTCCCCCAAATGTTCTAGAAGGAGAATCTTTCCTTGCCTCTTCCAGCTTTTGGTGGCTGATTGCATTCCTTGGCTTGTAGAAGCATCACTCTAATCTCCGCCCAGTCTTCGAATTGTCTTCTCCTCTGTGTCTCCGCGTGACCGAATTTCCTCATTTTTTTCTCTTCTAAAGACACCAGTCTTTGGACTTAGGGCCCACCTTATGTCCAAGATTATTTCATTTCAAGATCTGTAACTAATTACTTCTGCAAAGACAGCACATCTAAATAAGATTCATTCTTATGTTCTATGTGGACATGATTTTGGGGGAGACACTATTCAACCCACTACAGTGGCCAACTTTTTCTTTTTCAAATAAAGACACTAAACAAATAAGCCATCTAGGATACCACCAGTTTTTAAAGAAAAGGTATTTTAATACAAATAAGTTAGTTCGATAGTCTCATAACAGAAACTATTCTTTAAATTATACGATTTTAGCTGTGTGAAAAATTAATAGCATTTTCATAAATGTTCTCAGTTTACTGCAAACCACAGAAAAAACTGTACTAGAACCAATTCTGGTAGTGGTGAAGCAGTTTCTATCAAACCAATCCTGCCGTTGATAACAATAATAAACTCTGGATGAAAATGAACAAAACAACAATCTGAATGCTTTGGAAAATAATCATAAGCCAGCATAAATTGAAAGAGTTGACAACTGGAAGAATGGAACAATACTAGGCAAGTTTCCTCGTCTTTAGGAATTTTTGCCTGAGGGCAAGCCCAGGCCAAAGCAGTAACTCAGAGTCTAGAGAAGCTACAAGTAAGGGTTGCATCTGGCTCTCCAGGAAAAATAAATAAAAGCCAGATTCATAGCATTTCCCAGTTTCCATAGTGTAAATATTCCCACCATGGCCAATTCCATCAACATGAACCTGGGAAGAGTTGTGCACAGCTGGCTGTCACAAGTCAGTGCCACTTGGCTACCTAACACAACTGTTCACAGTCCTAGTGGCTTGAAGAACCAGCAGAGTTCAGGATGACCACTGAAGCTGGAAAGTGATAAGAGAATTCTAAGAATGGACAGAACTACAGAGTGGGAGACCCTAATTCTTTGTATAAACTGCCCAATTCTGTGGTGGAACCATAAATCGGGCATGTGGGGACCGATTCCAAGCAGCCTAAATAGAGCTGAAAGAATTAAACAGAGTTTTCAGTGCTTCCCACCATAAGGGAGAGTTTGGAGTTTCAATTAAGCCACATTAACTCAGACAAACAAAAGCAATAATCTACGGAGAAATAAATAAACATAGCCTACAAAAGATCACTCACAAAGTTCACGGTACATTCCAAAATTAGTAGAAAAAAACTCTAAAGAACAGGAAAATATTACCTGTACTCAAGGGAAAAGGCAATCAATGCAGACCAGCCCTAAAAAGGACCAGATGTTGGAATTAGCAGAAAAGAATTTTAAGTCATCTATCATAACCGTACTAATGGACATAAAAATACACTTTTAATAAATGAACAAATGGAAAACCATAGCAAAGATATAAAAACAATTAAAAAGAATCATGCTAGCTCTAGACCTGAAAATTAAAATATCTGAATAAAATTCACTGGGTGGGTTTAACAACAGATTGGAAATGAAAGAAGAAAGAGTAAGTTAACCTGAAGGTAAATTAATATTATTAAATCTGAAGCACAGAGACAGAAAAGATTAGAGAAGATTAACAGAGCCTCAATGATCTGTTGGATAATATAAAAGTTCTAATATTTATGTAATTAGAGTCCCAGAAGGCAAAGAACAAAAGAGGGAAAAAACATTTGAAAAATAATGCCCCAAATATTTCCAAATATAATTAAACAAATATTTACAAATTCAAGAAGCTCGTGAACCTGAAGTAAGATACCCAGGTGCCTCCTAGTCAAATCATTGAAAACCAAATATAAAGGGAAAATCTGTAAAGAATTCAGAAAAAATAACATAGAGGAACAACACAAGTGACCACTGACCTCTCATCAGAAAAAAAAAAGATATCATTAAGGCGATGAAATGTTTTTAAGTGTGTGTGTGTGTGTGTGTGTGTGTGTGTGTGTGTGTGTATCAAGTTTTACATCCAGCAAAAATATCTTTAAGAATAAAGGCAAAATGACATTTTCAGCTAAGTGAACATTAGGCCAGTTTGTCTGATATTTACAGTTTCAGAAATACTACAAGAAATTCTTAAGCTTAAAGGGAAATAATACAAGATGAAAAGTTGCATCTTTAGGAAAGAATGAAGACATCAGAAATGGTAATATATGGATAAATTTTTTTGTCTTAATTTTTTATATATGAGTTTAAAGGAAACATAATATAATGTACAGTAAATAACGTAGATAGAATAATACACGTGACACCTAAAACGTGAAAGAGCAAGGATAAGAGAATGATACATTGGCAAGGCCCTTGCATTTTATATGAAGCAGTACTCTAATCAAACTTTGAAAAGTTAAGAATGAACTTCCACTTTCCACTTCCCCATGTGAGGAACTTGCAAGTCATCATCCCATAGTAACAACGAGTAAAGTCCGAAAAAACTGAAAAAACCAACAACTCTTGGATACGTAAGAGAGGTGAAGGACATAGAGCGAACCACCGCCTCCAGGATTGGAAGTCAGAGAGAAGAAAACAGACCGTCACAACTTATCACAGCAGAGACTCACGAGCTGAACCTGCCAGAGGACCCAGTGCTGGT